CTTATATATAAATGAATATAAAGAATACACTTTATTTTATTGTTTTTTTGTAATAAAAAAAATTGATTATTTAAATTACTCACCACGAACGACTGTGTTTGTTACAAAACAAAATTAATTAATGCAGCACTTGTTGGTATTGTCGCATCTTCGACGAACGACTGTTTTTTTGGGGAAACAGTAAGCATATATAAACGTGACACTTAATGGAACATAAACACTTTTTAAATTTTCACATTCACAAAAACAACCTTCGCCTATTGAAGTGACACTTGATGGTATTTTTATATTGCTCAGATTGCTACATCCATAGAAACAACATACACCTATTGAAGTGACACTTGATGGTATTTCTATGTTGCTCAAATTAATACATTCATTGAAACACCTCTTACTAATAAATGTTACAGATGGTGGTATTATAACACTTCTCAGACTGGCGCATTGATTAAAACAATAATTACCAATAAATGTGACACTAGATGGTATTATAATGTTGCTTAAATTGTTACATTCATAAAAACAATTATTATGAATAGTATTCACGTTTGTTGGTATAGTCACACTGCTTAGACTACTGCATACGGCGAAACAACACCGTTTTAATGATGTTATACTTAATGGTATTGTCACACTACTGAGACTATCACAATGAAAAAAACAAAGATGACCAATATATTTCACATTTGATGGTATATCAATACTTTCCAAGTTTCTACATGCTTGGAAACATCTCGGACCAAATAAAGTGACACTTGATGGTATTTTTATATTGCTCAGATTGCTACATCCATAGAAACAACTATGACTAATAAGTGTGACACAATTTGGTATGTTATCACCAAATTTCATTCGATCGGTTTGGGTGTAAGCAATATCTTTGAACTTTATGTTTTGACCATCGTTTTTGACAACGGTGTCATAATTAACATTGAACCACACAATGATTTCATAAAACACTTTTGTCACAACAGTTTCTTTGTTTTTGTTTATATCTCCATGTTTTTCATTGTTATCATCGTCTTCATCGAACGCTGTTTTGACAAATAATAGATTGCCAAAAGTTTCATCGTTTTTATGCCATAAATGAAGAGTCTCAATGTTCAAGAAAAATCTAATTGTTTTGCAAGTTAATGGAATCGGGTTGAAATGAAATTTCTCCATATTACTGTTAAATTTTTTGCATACAAATTCCAAATTAATGAAATCGTTGATTGTTGCAAAGTACTTTGAAACTATCATGATATGATAACCGTCAATTGTGGACATTATGATTTTAACAGTTGTTTTTTTGTTGGAATTATTCAAATGGAATATGTGTAAACAATATAAAGTATTATTGTTTTAAAAATAAATGATAATTTCAAGTAAAAAGAATTTTTTTAAAAAATTGTTATTTATTAATTAATAATAATATAGTTTGAATATTCAATTATTGTAATAATTAACCTTTACCCAACTTAAACTTCTGATAATGAATATTTTTTATTATCAATTTTGAACGTGTTATAAAAAATTATAATCTTTTTTATTACACGTTCAATTTTTAGTTTTAAAAAAATAAAGTAATAAATTGTTAATGGCGTTATTAGTTTTATACAGTTAAAGTCACTTTTCTAACCGAAAACCATATTTTTAAATAAGGTTAAGTAAAATATTATTTGTCTTAAAACTTGTTTTTTTTATTTTTCTCAAGAAACCCCTTCAAAACCGAAACTTGCCAACGGACAGTTTTATTTTATTTATATAAAGTATGAATTAAGACTAAATTACCTAAGAATTCGACCAAAAACGTCTTGAATAACAATACAAAGAACAATAATAATTTTAAACCTATATTTTAACTACAAAATAGGTTTGTGGTAACACATTTCTTGTGATAAAATTTTTCATTTTTTGCAATCAATTGCCAATGATTGTTTCAATCATCTCTTTTTCTAGTCCTTTGTTGAAAAAAAAATAAAAAAACAGTAAAACAAAACAATGACTTATCTAATCATTCACTTGGAGTTTTTCGCTTGGATTTTTTTTCTTTTCGTCGTTTTTGTTCCCAACACACTCTACACATGATGATAGAGTGCGACAAACATATGTTTTGATCACAAAAAGAACACAATTCTTTTACGCGACTGGCTTTCGCTCCGATACAGAGATGACACTTTTCCCTCTCCCGACTAAATCTTCTTGTGTATTTTATTTGTTCGGGTGATTTTGACTCAATCCACCAATGTGAAAGACCGCACGCGTAAAACATTCTTTTTTTCTCTTTTGTTTTTTCATCCCATTTTTGAGTCGATGTTTGATGTAATTTTCAGAAAGCTGTTTTGACAAATTAACAAGAAAGTCGAAATGGTTGTTTTGTTTGCATTCTTTAAACATTCCATATGCATTTGTTGTGGCACAATCCAAAATATTTTGAAAACGACCATATTGTATCGACGTGTTTTCGTTTTTGTCGTATATTGTTGACAAAGAAAATCATAAGTGTCCACTGGAGTTTTACTATAATTATAAAGAACGTTTATTTCTGATTTAGACTTTGAAGATTCTATAATCGGGACATTAAGGGCGTTTGTTGCAATAATGACAGTTTTTGTTTTTTTGGGGTTGAATGAAGTTAAAAAAATGCCTTCTTTTTTTCCAAAATCGGATATAATAATAAATAATTATTTCAATTAAAGTGAAATGAAAGATTTTTTATTTCAAAATATTGTTTCAAAAACATCTTTTCACTTAACTGATTAAAATAAACGAGACGCAAAAAAACACGTTTAAAAAATATAATTGAAATTTTGGTTATTGTTTTTGTTTAGATAAAATGTGTCAAATTATTTTTAGATTTTTTTTCTCATTTTTATATTTATAGAAAAAAAGCAATTTTTTGTGTCTCGTGCATTTTGCCAAAAAAATACTATTGGCCGGTTAATAAAGAAATTTGTTTTGAACATCAAAAACAAAAACAAAGTTAAACAAAAAACAATTTTATTTGAATAATCTTGAACTTGTTTATTAATGTGAAACTTTGGTTATTGTTTCACTTCAATCCAAATGTCGAACTGAACAAGAAGAACTTAACGATAAACATAAAGTCAAAAATCTTTTGGGTAAAAGGCAAATACTTTGAAAATTATCAATGTTCCAAATGAAATAACAATTGAAATATAAGAGTAAAGTGACTTCCCAAAGTGTGCAAGTTAAGGTATAGTTCATTTATAATTTTTTTATTAAAAAAATAGAATCATTAATTTTTTGAAATTTTGAAAAAAAAAGATTATTTTTAGTTTAATTATTAATTATAATTTCGAAGTTATTACTAAATTATACTTTAACTTGCACACCTTGTGACGTTGCAATTTTTAACTTTCACACTTCGAATACAATTAATTAAGCAACAATTTCGGGAAAGCTACCCAATGGAAATTATCGAAGGACCAGTTCTGGACAACAGTACACATCGATTTGAGACAATGAACTGCACCTATTAAACAGACTATTTGTTATTGTTTGCTATAAAATGGCACAGAGAAAAACATAATGTTTATCATACTTTTTCTTGTCGCTTTGAATTACGCTGACACAAGAGACATCGACATTTATTCACGTCTTGAAACAAAACAGTTTTTGCATTGAACACGTTGACAAACCATCACCAAATTTTTATAATTTAATTTGCTTTTTGTAGTTTATTAATTCAAGCACCAAAGGGTTGTGTGTTTTTTGAAACAATTTGGAAACGAATAACATTTTTTTTAATAAAATGTTTTTCAACTAAAATTTAGTCTTGCACGCCCTTTCCCTGTAAAAAAGACTAAAAATTTTAACTTGCACACCTTGGGGAAGTCACTTTATGCGCATTTTGAGTATCAACATAAGTTGGGGGAAACCTCCTTCTACACTGAAAGTTAATGAAATTAATGGGTTTTACACGTGTATAATTTAGACGAC